TAAATTCTGTACCAAATAAATTTTACTGGAAACTAAAAATTACAATAAGGTAAAATTTGTTTACCTTTGAAGGAGACTTTGATCCTACCAGTACAAATTCATTTGGTACATAATATAATAGAACACGGCACAAACACACACACATACACTGCATGTGTATGATTGAAGACAAAGACAAGAAGAGCATTAAATGCTCAACAGTACGAAGACCAAAGAAGATGGGTCACACACACCAAATCGTGAAGATTGATCCTTGACTTGATCTTCTAGCTACTAATCAGTGAAGACAAAGGAAATTTCCATTATCAGCTCCAGCACAAGAGAACAAGAGTACACCTCATTCTGCGAATAGGATTGAATCCTCTCAACCAACGGAGGAGATCAACCTACTGGAGAAGCCTATAAAAGAAGGCATAGGCATGAGTTCTAAAACCAAGTTTTTGAGTCTTCTAAGTAGAGTAATCACTCTAAGTATTCACGAGCTATCAAGCAAAAGAGAAAGTGCCAATTCAACTTTGCTCTCTGCTTAGACTCATGCTTCACTAAGCTCTAAGATTAGATTAACAACTGCCATATTTGAAGAGCTTAGTTCATAGTTGGAGGTTAGAACTTTCTTGTAATCACAAGTTGTTGTAAACACTTAGGAGAACGGTTGTTCAGATCCTAAAGTGCAGTTAGATAGAAAAGAGTACCTTTTGAACCCCACTGGTTCAATAGAGAAAAGTCTAAGGACTGAGTAACCTTGAGTGGTGCTATACTCATTGTGAAAAACCTTCAATCTAGGCCTAAGTGTTGTAAAGGCTGGATTGACACTAAGTGTATTGGGCTTAATACTTTAGTGAAATCCATCTGAAAGAGGGTGGGACTGGACGTAGGAGGATTACACCACCTCTGAACCAGGATACATCGTGTGTTGATTTTATTTTAGTCAACAAAGCACACAACCAACACTTCTCACAAAAGATTGGAGTTTGCCAGCAGCATCCTAAGCAGTTGCCTTAACAGACTCAACTGCTTATCCTACTGCTTAATTACTTACTTTCTTTGAGAATTTTTTTTTTCAAGAAACGTGTACAAATAACACTAAAAAGCCTATCAGGTCATTTTACTGAAATTCATCTTCTAAACCAAGCAGGCACCTCAGCAGTGCCCTCATCACCAATCAACTGCTAAGACCACTGCTCCAGCTAAACTTCTGATTACATATACTAAAGCACATTTTCAAAAGCCCTCACTATTCTTAGCAACATTTCATCATCACCTCCTTCAAACACTCAATATTTTTTCAGCAGTTGCCTCAGCAGTCTCCTGCATTTCAGCTAACTGCCAACTCAGCAGTTGCCTCAGCAGTCGCCTACCCATCATCCAACTGCCAAGCCTACTGCCCTTCCATAATTAGTCTAAACTTCACCCAGACTAGAAAGTTATCTTAAACTGAGTTTCTAGAGGTTAAAGACTTCCGCTGTGCATCTATTAATCTCCCAAAAGATTATAGATCAACTCATCTAGAAGGGAAATATTCTTAAAGACGAAAAAGCTATAAAAGTCTATTCACCCCCCCTCTAGACTTTTACCTCTATCCGGGACCATCAGAAGTCAAATGATTTTTGGAAGATAACTGCATCCTTTATATACATATATAACGCAGTAATCTTCCAAAAATTGTTTGACTGCCTTCCCGATTGAATTTTTTGTTGAAATTTGGTATGGATGTACTAGACTTGATGAAGAACATTCTCAAAAAAATTCATCGAAAAAATGCAATGGAAAAGCCCTCAAAACGTGGAGGCCGCACGACGGCTCCTGTAAGGTATACCTTACCGGAAGATTTTCCTACATATATATATATATATATGGATATATATATATATATATATACAAAATGAAATAATAGAGTCTGAATAGTACAAGGGCTCCTACTAAAGCTAGAATTACATGAAAGCAATAATTGTATATTATTATCAAGTTTCATAAAATTGTGAAGACAAAATTTACACTTTCAGTGCTTACATATAAATAATCTATTTAAGTTTCACGTTTCTTTAATTTGTAACATCTTATTCTCACATGCACACATATATACACACGCTTTGGATGCTACGTTAGTATTATTGACTAGATAAACATGTTCTTATCAACCAAATAACTAGTACTTACATTTTTTAGAGGAACTAGTACTTACATTAGGTACACAAAAGTCACATCTAATTTTTCCAAAAACATTATATATTAATGCTCATCATTGAATTGTTCACTCTACTTGGTCAACCATGTTCAACCATTCAAATATCCATTCCCATTCACTTCATTTTTGGATACCTTCAATGAGGAGCATTAATATATAATTAGCAAAATTCAGGGGTGTTCATTAGATATACCAAACGGAACCGAACCAAAATTTTGGTAAACCATAATTTCGGTTATCCATATTCACATACTTGTATCAAATACCGAACCGAACTAAATCAGTTTGGTTCAGTAAAAACCGGAAAAAAATGATTCGGTAATCGGTAAAACAAAGGTCCAAATTTTGTTTTTAAAACAAAATTTGACCTATGTCATGCCCCAGACCGCATCCGTGCCAGGTAGACAACCGCCGTACAACCCAATAAGAACAGTTCATTCTTATTAAATCATACAAGGCGTTCGATAGATTCTATTGTCAAACCGATTAGTAAACTCATACAATCAACATCAATATATTAGTCAATCAAATGCGGAAAATAAAATATGTTTGATAATTAGCCACACGTGGCAAACATGAGCACGCAGGCCCTTCAATAGTTTAATAGAAAACGTTGTTTAAATATCCATGAGCAATTACATAGTTTCAAATAAGAATGAAAGCACGAACCACGTCTGCCTTATTTGATGATCACCCTAGGCAAAGGTGCAGGTAATAGGACGTACTCTAGCCTTAACCTGAAAAATATGAGGCCCCCTAGGGGTCAGTACTCCATAGAAAGTACTAGTGATCGACAAGCAGGCTATATGAGGAATAACTAATGTTTCAGACACGAGACCCAAAAATAGGGTGATACATATATTTGTAGGTGTAACCACCGTTACCCCATTCACAAGGTGATACTTATAGTATATACTTGTAAAATACTCAACCCGTAGGTCATTTTTATTTAAAGAGTCTTTTAGAGATAAGGTACTTACCCGACCTTTCCCATCCACTCATGAATACCTAGCTCACAAGCTACATTCTACATTAATAATATCCTACTGAGTTTTAGGATCATTTACCATCCCGGGGATACTCAACCCCAACTGAGTTTTAGGATCATTTACCGTTCCGGGGATACTCAACCCCAACTGAGTTTCAAGATCATTTACCGTCCTGGGGATACTCAACCCTAACCGAGTTTCAGGATCATTTACCGTCCCGGGGATACTCAACCCCAACCTTATTCCTTACCAAACCCTAACCTGGATATGGCTAACCTTTCTTTCCTTTAACTATGGACAATACTTAGCCCTATAGTCAAATTATAATCCTTAATAATCAACGTGGACGGGTCCCACCCGAACGACCCACGTTATTGATAACCGCTTTCGCGGCGTTGTAGTAAAACGGAGTCTAACCTTTCGGTTTTTCCCCGAGTATCGTGTCTCTCGAGGAATGGCGGAGGAGCTTCTTGATTTCAAGTCCAGTCACAGGTTATCGCAAATTATTGGAAGCTTTCCAAATTAAAACTTTTGATTGATTTTCTAAACTACTTTTTGGAAAAGAAAGTAAATTAAATTGTGCAAATACTAATGATGGCTCAAAAATAGACTAAAGGAAAAAAATATAATATTAAACTTAAATGGATTGGTGCAAATAAGGGCAATGAATTGAGTAATTAGAAATGGATATATTCTTGGACCTAGTAATTAGGAAAATTAAAACTAAAATTGGACTAATAATTTCTTTCCTCATAGACAAGAATAGAAACTATTTTCATTAATTTATCCTATTTCTAGGTGTCATTAATGTGTTCAAAAATGGTTGGCTTGAATTAAATTCTAACCTCATAGACAAGGTAGAAATAATTCTCCAATATTTTAATTAATAAAAATAGCCGAATTCATTAACTAGTTAAACTCATTATTTAAGCAATTGAATTTATCTCTCATAGACAAGATGTAAATCCCTTTCATTAAATTATCCTATTTCTAGGCCTTATTAATGTGCTTGAATATGGTTGGCTTAAATTATTTTCTAATCTCATAGACAAGTTAGAAATAATTTTCCAAGAATTTAATTAATGAATATGGCTAACAATTATTAATTACTATTTCATCATTTCAAACAACTAGTCCAAATTATTAATTTTAATCCCTAATTTTCGGTCAACAAGTCAATCCATATTCCTTTAGTCAATTCATGCCCAAAACAAATTTAGCTAATAAACATCATTTTTTCATTTAACAATACAATGAATAAATTCAACATTAACAAGGAATTAAGCATGTATAATAGCAAAAATTAAACAAAAATAATATTCTTCCAAAATAAACTTGTGGAACTAAAATATCACCTTCTGGAATTTTTCCCGAATTTTATAACCTAAAATCCAATTTTAACAACTAATTGATAATTTTCCCAATATTAACTAGAAAATACAAAAAAAGCAACTACAAATATTCTAAATTCGTTCTAAATTTTATATTGAATACTAGGAGTGATATTACTGTGAATTTAACTGGAATTAGGACAGAAACTAATTTTTTTTCTTTTTTGAGTATTTAATTTAATTTATGCAATAATAACCACTAAATGCCGGAATTAATTAAAATTTACTTCTACTTCATAAAAATTAACTTTGTTTTGATAAATAACTACCTTGAGGCTAGTAAACAACTATATAATTAATTGGAATGGATTTAATGTCAACAACTATTTTATTCAAATTTAAGACGAAAATGCGAAATAGTTGAATAATTTTCTGGAAATTTTAGAAGCACAGATAAAAAAAACTAAGTACAGATTCAGAATCTACTCATTGAAAGGATGAAAATACATATAAAGAACTCACAATTTGGAGCTAAAATGAGAAAGATATGAAAGATTGAAGTTGAAGGTGCAACAATGGTGGAAATCCGAGCTTTGAGGAGGAAGAAGACGCCCTTTTTGATCTGATTTGGGCTTGAAATTGGTGTGTTTGAGATGGGGAAAAAGCCTGCTATTTATAGCAGAAATTTCACCGAAGGCGCCCAAGGAGGCGGCCGCCTTCCGTCGGAATCTGGCCGCCTTCCATAGGCGGCCAACCAGGCGGCCGCCTTTGGTCTCATTTTGGCCGCCTTCCGTCCCGTCGCCGACAGCGGATCGTGGCCGGTCCCGTCAACCGTAGGCGGCCACAGAGGGCGGCCGCCTTCCGTCACAAATGGCCGCCTGCCGTCTTTTCGTTGGCAGATCGGATCCCGGCGGATCCCGGCGGATCCCGGCCGCCGCAGGCGGTCCAACAGGCGGCCGCCTGCCGTCCTGTCTGGCCGCCTGCCGTCCTGTCTGGCCGACCGGTGGTTGGTTTTGTCCCCTTGTGCCGCAGGCGGCCACCGTAGGCGGCCGCCTTCTGCCCAGTGTCGGCAGCCTTCGGTCTTTTCCTGGTCCCGAGTCAAAGCGAGATTGACTTCTGATTTTTCCCGTAGGCGGCCGCGAAGGCCTCCATTTTGGGCGCCTATTTGGGCGCCTGCTGCCACTTTTGTCTGGCAGATGCGGCTTTTCCTGCTCTTCATTTTTGTCTTCTGAATCACCTTGATAAAATGCTTGCTTCTTCCGGTATAAATGTATTTGTCACTCAAATTGACTCATTTTGTGCTCAATTGACCCGAAATCCCGCTAAACATATTATGGATGTGATTTTTACCTAATTTCATGAAACTTGAACCAAAATATATAAAATGTGTCTTTTCTTTCTATTTTCATTCAAAAATCGCTTAAATTTGATAAGAAAAATAAGTACAAAAATGGACTTATCAATCTCCTCACACTTAAGCGTTGCTTGTCCTCAAGCGACGAATTAGTTGTAAACACACTCAAAAGGTAAAGCCTAACTGTATTACAATCTAATTGCTATTTTAAAGAAGTAGAAACAAAAACCTCTTCTTTTATTCTCAATTTTTAAACATTTTAGAAAAATCACCCAAAATACAAGAATTTAAAATTAGTATTACTTAAGAAAAACTATTTATTATGTTAAACCACCAATCAATTCCTTATCCCAAGGTTTTCATTATTCTAATTTGGACATTCATCATGTTCACCATTTTTTTTTTTTTTTTGCTCTTTTTCACTCTTGTTGGCGGTGTTATCCCATGGTAAATGCATATTTCATTCTCACAGACTGTGATTAACGAATGAAACAGAGCCCCTTTTCGGAGATGGAATTGTCCTATAACAATGAGTTTTGAAGAGGTTTATTAATAGTAATATATATATATATATATATATATATATATATATATATATATATATATATATATATATTTTGATGAATAAAATGAATGTCCAATTAAAACAAATTCGGACCTTTACATTCGCAACCAAAAACCCATAACAATTTTAAGTTTTCAAGAATAATAATAAAAGTAAATTCATATAATAAGGGTGATTATCTAAACTATTTATGCGATTGATAACAAATTGAGAAATTAATGTTTCATGTCAAAAATAGTAAAAAGGTTGTTCTAAAATAAGTTTTTAACTTTTGAGTGTAAAACACAACCTCCTCACACTTGAGCTAGACCTCGCCCTCGAGGTCTTCTTTTAAGGCACAAAACCTTGAAATAAAGACACACATTTTTTTTTTTTTGGTTCTTTCCTCACACTTGAGTTTTGAAAAGATTTTGTGAAGAGGAATAATGAAACAGGAATAAAAATCATTACATCATTCATAGTCAGTTTGTAAGAGCAATTAAGTCAAAAGAGCGGCACAATGTCCAACCTGAATAAATAAACAAACACAATAAAATGTTAAGGAAGAAAACTAAGCATCACCCGTGTCCTCCCGTAAGGCCTAAGCCAAACTCTTATTTCATCAACATTGAAGCACACCCTGCAAACACACAAAACAAACAAACAATGTTATGAAAAACATGGGTTGCCTCCCAAGAAGCGCTTCTTTAACGTCACTAGCTTGACGTTTGAGAGAGAACTCTCAGCTATGCATGTCAATTGTGGGGCACTCATCATTAGTGCTTCCACCTTATCCTCCAGGTATGCCGTCAGATGGCGTAGACCCTTGAACTCTTGTGACCACCAAAATGTGATATAATCTTCAAAGAACACATCGTTCGAACAAGGAATTAGCACATATCCTGCATCACTCTCATTAGTATAATCAACAAGTATTTCAGGATCAGGTGCCTTTGGTGTCTCCAACCGCTCATAGAGAGTCTTCAAGGTAGAAGCAGCTTGAATAGAGATTGCATACTCCTCTTGATGGGTTTTCTCTTCTTCATCTATGCCCTCAACATGAAAATCACAAAGTTTAGACTCTGTGTCACTCTCTAAGAATGCATCCCAACTTCCTAACTCACTGCCTCCACAAATATCATCTAGGCAAACAGATCCTTGCCTGGCACAACTATGCTCAACATGCTCAAGTAGAGAATCAAAGAAGGCATCATCGGACATTGTTTCCTTCACATCACAAGTTTCATCAACTATTTCAACAGGTGCTTGAGCTTGTGTAGGATCAAAATCTTCACCAAGGCTATCTTTGTGGCACTCCTTAAATGAGAGGTCAACCATAAATGGTAGGGTAGGTTCCTTGTCACAAAGTATCTCATCATCTATGGTTTCTTCATCAACCTCATTGGGCACTTTCATATGGGGCTCTTGAGAATTAAGTTCTACGAGGATAGGCTCTCTCTCAGTAGCAATGAGAGGCTCAAAAGAAATTGGGGTGAGAAGATTTTCAACCATCTCGCCCATGGTTACCGCAACCTCCTCCTCAGATTTAGCACCTTCCTCGTATGTCTCCTGTTGAACTTTGTGGTCATTGTCATAAATGATTTTTTCAAACAATTCCTTGATACTCTCATCATGAGATGCTAGTTCAATCCTTGTCTTTCTTAAGTCTTCCACAAAATCGAGTAAGGACGATTTTAACTCTTCGAGCTCGTGTTGAGGATAAGGTGAAATTCTAGAGTCACCCTCGTAGGAATACTCGTTTGTGCTGGTGTAATGATTTTCTAGCCTTTCTTGGTAATTTTCATGATAATTAAAATCATCATGATAATTACCTTGATAGAAGAAATCATCACAGCCTTCAAAGTCTTGCCCTTGGTGGAAATAATTATCTTGAAATTGGTAATCTCCATACCCCAAAGGTGGATTTTCGCACCATTGATTGTTATCCTCATAACCTTGTCCATAGTATCCTTCGTTTTGATTATTTTGAAAAGATTGTTGTTCATAGTATGGATAGTGATATGGTGGTTGAGAATTAAAGTGTTCACTTGAGTAATCCATGAGGAAATCTCAAGCAAACACGTGAGAACAAAACAAACGAGAAAAAGAAAGTCTCCCTAACTTGAATTTGCCCATGCTAAAATCAAAATCAAGAAATCACCGTGCCATTCCCCGGCAACGGCGCCATTTGATAACCGCTTTCGCGGCGTTGTAGTAAAACGGAGTCTAACCTTTCGGTTTTTCCCCGAGTATCGTGTCTCTCGAGGAATGGCGGAGGAGCTTCTTGATTTCAAGTCCAGTCACAGGTTATCGCAAATTATTGGAAGCTTTCCAAATTAAAACTTTTGATTGATTTTCTAAACTACTTTTTGGAAAAGAAAGTAAATTAAATTGTGCAAATACTAATGATGGCTCAAAAATAGACTAAAGGAAAAAAATATAATATTAAACTTAAATGGATTGGTGCAAATAAGGGCAATGAATTGAGTAATTAGAAATGGATATATTCTTGGACCTAGTAATTAGGAAAATTAAAACTAAAATTGGACTAATAATTTCTTTCCTCATAGACAAGAATAGAAACTATTTTCATTAATTTATCCTATTTCTAGGTGTCATTAATGTGTTCAAAAATGGTTGGCTTGAATTAAATTCTAACCTCATAGACAAGGTAGAAATAATTCTCCAATATTTTAATTAATAAAAATAGCCGAATTCATTAACTAGTTAAACTCATTATTTAAGCAATTGAATTTATCTCTCATAGACAAGATGTAAATCCCTTTCATTAAATTATCCTATTTCTAGGCCTTATTAATGTTCTTGAATATGGTTGGCTTAAATTATTTTCTAATCTCATAGACAAGTTAGAAATAATTTTCCAAGAATTTAATTAATGAATATGGCTAACAATTATTAATTACTATTTCATCATTTCAAACAACTAGTCCAAATTATTAATTTTAATCCCTAATTTTCGGTCAACAAGTCAATCCATATTCCTTTAGTCAATTCATGCCCAAAACAAATTTAGCTAATAAACATCATTTTTTCATTTAACAATACAATGAATAAATTCAACATTAACAAGGAATTAAGCATGTATAATAGCAAAAATTAAACAAAAATAATATTCTTCCAAAATAAACTTGTGGAACTAAAATATCACCTTCTGGAATTTTTCCCGAATTTTATAACCTAAAATCCAATTTTAACAACTAATTGATAATTTTCCCAATATTAACTAGAAAATACAAAAAAAGCAACTACAAATATTCTAAATTCGTTCTAAATTTTATATTGAATACTAGGAGTGATATTACTGTGAATTTAACTGGAATTAGGACAGAAACTAATTTTTTTTCTTTTTTGAGTATTTAATTTAATTTATGCAATAATAACCACTAAATGCCGGAATTAATTAAAATTTACTTCTACTTCATAAAAATTAACTTTGTTTTGATAAATAACTACCTTGAGGCTAGTAAACAACTATATAATTAATTGGAATGGATTTAATGTCAACAACTATTTTATTCAAATTTAAGACGAAAATGCGAAATAGTTGAATAATTTTCTGGAAATTTTAGAAGCACAGATAAAAAAACTAAGTACAGATTCAGAATCTACTCATTGAAAGGATGAAAATACATATAAAGAACTCACAATTTGGAGCTAAAATGAGAAAGATATGAAAGATTGAAGTTGAAGGTGCAACAATGGTGGAAATCCGAGCTTTGAGGAGGAAGAAGACGCCCTTTTTGATCTGATTTGGGCTTGAAATTGGTGTGTTTGAGATGGGGAAAAAGCCTGCTATTTATAGCAGAAATTTCACCGAAGGCGCCCAAGGAGGCGGCCGCCTTCCGTCGGAATCTGGCCGCCTTCCATAGGCGGCCAACCAGGCGGCCGCCTTTGGTCTCATTTTGGCCGCCTTCCGTCCCGTCGCCGACAGCGGATCGTGGCCGGTCCCGTCAACCGTAGGCGGCCACAGAGGGCGGCCGCCTTCCGTCACAAATGGCCGCCTGCCGTCTTTTCGTTGGCAGATCGGATCCCGGCGGATCCCGGCGGATCCCGGCCGCCGCAGGCGGTCCAACAGGCGGCCGCCTGCCGTCCTGTCTGGCCGCCTGCCGTCCTGTCTGGCCGACCGGTGGTTGGTTTTGTCCCCTTGTGCCGCAGGCGGCCACCGTAGGCGGCCGCCTTCTGCCCAGTGTCGGCAGCCTTCGGTCTTTTCCTGGTCCCGAGTCAAAGCGAGATTGACTTCTGATTTTTCCCGTAGGCGGCCGCGAAGGCCTCCATTTTGGGCGCCTATTTGGGCGCCTGCTGCCACTTTTGTCTGGCAGATGCGGCTTTTCCTGCTCTTCATTTTTGTCTTCTGAATCACCTTGATAAAATGCTTGCTTCTTCCGGTATAAATGTATTTGTCACTCAAATTGACTCATTTTGTGCTCAATTGACCCGAAATCCCGCTAAACATATTATGGATGTGATTTTTACCTAATGTCATGAAACTTGAACCAAAATATATAAAATGTGTCTTTTCTTTCTATTTTCATTCAAAAATCGCTTAAATTTGATAAGAAAAATAAGTACAAAAATGGACTTATCAGTTATACTCATTCAAAACTGACCGTTTGGGTGTAACACCCAATACCCGGTCGGGTACCCACCTATACACGGTCGGGTACCCACCTATACCTGGTCGGGTATAGAAGGCAGTAGCCCTGGGGCTATTTCCAGTTAATACCCGGTCGGGTATTTGCCAATACCCGGTCGGGTATAATAGTTGACTTGGCGGTCAACTCCCGTTTGACCGCCCAAACGAAGCCCGATTACCGTGAAATTTTACATGCATGTACTTCTTCATGTCCTTAATTCAAAAATACCTTTTTGGGTTCTTGGAACATCATACAAGTCAATTTATAATATTTTCACTAATCAAACTTACATATCATGCTTTTCAAGTATGTTATATTCCTTAATATGACATAACACATGCTTTAATACCATTAATCAATTCATAAAACATATTCTTGATTAATTGAGGTAATCACATGCCTCACGCAAAAGTTATAAAGCATATAGCCGTCTTCTCACCTTAATGAAGCTTTTGGAGTTCTAGCCTTTCTTATTGAGCTTCGGCGAAACTCCGGCGAACTTCAACAAACTCCGGCGACAACTCCGGCGACCCTTTCAACTCCGTGACAGTTCTTGAAATACCTTATACAAGTTAATAACAAGGTTTTATCATCGTAAAACCTATATCAACACAAATAACCTCTAAAAGGTTATTTTCTGACGAACCCGTCAACTTTGTTCTCTAAGTCCGTTCTTGGACTTAGAACTTCCTTTCAAACCCCATTCAACACCTTTAAACGTGTAGAACTATCCTAGGAGTATGAAATATGATTAAAGAGATTAAATGAGATTAATGAAGTCATTACCTTGCTAATCACAAGTTTTCCCCTTCTTAACCCCTCTCTTTTCTCCACCACTTTGCTTTCTTCTTCCTCCCTTGTTTTTGTACGAAAATGGCTGAAGGAATGGAGTAGTTTCAGAGCTTCTTACTCTCTAGATGATGAGTGAGTCGAGTGGGTGAGATGTGGGGGTGATGGAAATTTCCCTTTTGACTTATTAGCAATAATATGAGGGGAGGGTCCCCTTTTCCTTTTCATTTTGTCTCCCAATCAATTCATGATCATTTCCTATCTCCTTGTGCGTCTCTTCTCTTCTTTTGCAATAATAAAACGTGGGGTGGCCCCCACATATGTGGGACGTCATCCCTTTGCGTCCCCAGGTGTACACTTGGTCCCGAAAGTTGTATTTTCTGGACTGTTTTAATTAAATTTCATTTTATTGGGTCAAATGAAATATCTATCATTCTTCCAATTAATATTGGCTATTAGAATGAATGTATATTCCCCAACTTTTAATTTAGTGGTCTTCATAATTTATTATGGCTTTTATTCTGTTAGTACTCCGGTACCGATAAATGGGCTTTATATGCACAACTGGCCAACTCATCTAGTTTCTATGGCCCAACATGGATACCCACCATTATATAAATATTATCTAGACATAGATGAATATAATGTGTGGTCTTGAGGATATCGTGTGGCCTCCACTTCTGGTGTCGGTCCCACGTGAATTTTTTTTACTATTCACGTAAAAGAAATGATAAAAATTTACAATCACGTAAAATGCGTTTATTCATTTCTCATGGTTCAATACATAATTTGATAAAGTACAAATACTTGGGGACGGTGTTACAGTTTAAAATTCAACCGTATGTTTGATTTACGCAAATTATATGTATGAGTCGGGTGGTGTGTAATGAACTACTTTAAGCTAATGTATTACGTTTGTATTATTTTTATTGTATTTTGAGCAAATACACAATAATTTTCAGCCTTCAGTACGCCCTCTCCTTCGAAAAGTATCTGGCTCCGCCACTGACAAGAGAGAGTGTCAAGTGTGTACATCTTTTGTTCCATATGATATTGATAAAGGTCTCAGACAGCAGAAGTTGTAAGTAAGAGATTCTTTTGTTCCATCCGATTTCCCTCCACTTTTTTAGAACCACTCCACCTTTTTAAATAATTTTTTTTATCTCAAATTAAATTATATCCAATCTTCTAGACTCCACAAACATTATTACAATTTACGTGGTATCTCCCATTACTTAAACTCCACTAGTACAAGAGTGAGCAAAAAATATGGAGGCTCGTCTGATCATCTCAATAGTCTACACTCCCCGAATAAAAAAAGTTTCTAGATAAGAATAATTTGTGGATAATAGAAGTACTAAAGGGTAAACGTAAATACTACCAATTACTCTCTTGGTCCCTCTATCGTGTCTTATTTTACCCTTTCCGTATGTCCCACTAAGTTTGTCGTATACCTTATTTGTAATATTTGGGTAGTTACAATCTATTCTTACTTTATTGACACTTTGTCAATTTAATACTAACCACATAACTTCACTTTTCTTAATAATTAACCGCATCACTCGCTCTTGTCCCGGTGTCAGGGGCAGGGCCGATCCTAATAGTTTTTTGGCCTTAGTCGAACAAAATAAAAAGGCACTTAAAATACCATAAGGAATAAATAATAAAACTTATTAGCAAAATAAAAAAAAATCAATGGCAAATTAGCAATTACCCTAAGCTTTAATCAACAATGATTAAGTATTTTTTAGCAACGATTAAAAAACATCATGAAATTTATGAAATTCTAAAATTGACATTTAAAAAGTAAAAACACCACAATAATTGAAAATATGGTGATTTTAGAATAACTTACCTGGAGGGTGAAATTATATTATGAAAAATTAAAATCTGGAATTGACCTTTGGGAAGTAGGCAAAGACACGTAGTATTTTGGCTATATATACTATAGAGTACACTATATTACAAGTCAAAATATAAATTATCTTTAATTAGTAATAGTACAAAGAAACGAATATTTAAAATTTTTCCAATAATTAGCAATTTCTTTTATACGGCATAAATTAATCTTGGAGAAGAACTATTTAATAAGTATGTGAGATCATTGTGTGAAAGTAATTTTTGAAAAGTGAAGTTTTATAATCGTGGAACACTTTAAATACGAAAAAAATGTGTTAATGGTATGATTAACATAAATGTTTGCATCAATGATGTCTGATAGGATAATAAAGAAGCTAAAGTACATACTACCTCCGGTTTTTTTTTAATCTTCACAGTTTGACTTCACACAAAATAAGGAAAGAAATTTGACTTTACTATAGAGTACACTGTTGAGGCACTGTTTGGCACTGTAGAGACACTGTTTGGCACTGTTGAGACACTGTTTGGCACTGTTTTGATGTAGATTTCTTTGCCAAAAAAGGAAATAAGGAAGTGTGAAGTTTATTTTAGACCGTCCCAAAAAGGAAAGTGTGAAGTTTATTAAAAACCGGAGGGAGTATTAGTTTATATGATTTATAATATACATAAAAGTAATGTACTTGACAAACGCTTCAATTCCTTTACCCACAGCGTTCGATTTTTTAGTTGTGGCCAAAGTTGGTTAAACTGGAACTAACAGGGACAAAGTTGGGCTTAAAATAGAAGAGAGAAAAAAAGAATTGGACTCGCAATTGGATAGAGGCCGCGCGAACGCAGGCCCCCGCTACCACAAATTATGACGTAGGCTCCACCACTTGGGTAGACCTTAAGATGACACCCTTCCAAAGTGCAATGGAAGTCATCAACCTAGGCCATGGGCCTTCCTGATCGCCCATCGACCCCGTCCAGGTAAGTATGTAAAACAGGCTGCCCAGGCCCATCTTTATATCATCTCCCTCCGCTCCTGCTCTTCTCCCTCTCCGGTGTGGGACTAATCCGAATCCCATCTCACGCTGCTGCTTTCCTTCAGCTTCCCAACCTTTAGCCATTTCCTTCTTTTGCGATGAATGAATGAATACAAAGCCTTACCCATTTCCTTCTTTTGCAAATCAAAATCACAGCAACATCTTGAGCTACGTATTATCATCATCATCATTTCTACCTCCACCTCCAACATTAAATCCCATCCACTTTACAAAATTCGTTTTTAACACTATACTACTCATGCCATCCAAACCCATCTCGTTTTTGCATCTTTATCCACGTTTGCACTTCCAACCCAAATTAGCAACATTATAAATACTTCTTCCAAGCATAATAAGCTACTAAATTTGTCTATTTAAACACCTCACAATCTCAATCAAACCTTCAAATCTTTTTTGGTCAATGTTCACTCCATTTTTGTTGCCTCCGGAATTCTCACTACTCGGGTCAAATTAAAGGCTATACCTAAATTCAATCCTGTTTATTCACCTTAACCGACCTTAATTAGTTTTTCATCATGTAAGTAATAGACTGGGGTTATTTATGTATTTTTAACAATATTCTTCTATTAAGTTTTTTACATATTCATTCACGTTCTTCAACGTTTTCCCTTTATCAACATACGTTTTTTTTTATACAAGTAGCTCATTTTTTACCTTTAAAATGTTTACTTACAAGTTAAGCCACTTTTAACAGCCCAAACTATATGGAATAAATATTTTAAAAGAACAAATGTCACTTTTTGTAGCAATCAATAATGAATTGGCGACTTCCAACCTGAAAATCTTAACTATTTCACCGTTTATAACGTTTTAATGGATTCACCATAATTACATTTAGTGTTAGATTCCATTGGAGCACAAAATTGTTTTAGAAGAGTCAAACGGAAACTTATAAAGCTCTCCATAATAATTACGAAAATGCCACCGCGTCAAAAAAAATTCCTGGTTTTCGTAATTATTTTTTTGCGGTGGCATTTTCGTAATTATTTTCGAGGGGTCTATAAGTTATGATTTATTGGTCAAAAGTTCCTATATTTAGTCTATAAGTTTCACTTCGCAGTTCTCAGCCTAAGAGCACTTCTCACCTGATCCGCTCCCTAGGGGTGAGTTCTAATACAAAGAGGTCTTCCCATGAAAAGTGAGAAGTAATCTAAGCCCCTGATTAGTTAAAAATGGATGGTATAGATCAAAACTTACGATCAACCAAAATGTGTAATACATAATAGCAATAGTGCATATGCAATATGTAATGGTGCACATTCACCTTCTAAAAAAACATCAGGAACGATTTTTATACTTGTGATGTTTTTCCCAAAAAGTGATTCACTTTTTTGTTAGTGTAATGCACTTTTCCTCCATAGTGATGCACATTTGTGACGTTAGTTTTCAAAAAAAGTTTTTAATAATTACACTTTTGGCACCGAAGTTTTCCCTTAAAAATTGATCTGATCCACTCATTTTCTCATTTTAACGGCTAAGATTACTTCTCACTTTTCATATGAGGAGTACTTTGTATTTGAACCTCCCTATATATATATATATATTGGTTCAAGTGAGAAATTCATCTAATATAAGAAATGAGAAGCATTCTACACCCTTAGATCTTAAGCACTACCATGTTAGCAATAAGGATATGTTAGGCATTTCCCACTTAGTATTAATTGAATTCAATATGAAGCTAATGCAACGTTTGGTGTTTCCCTTTTTATCTTGATCAAGCTTTTATTATTAGGCCTATATCCGTATTATTTAGCATTTCCCACCTTCTCCTTTGATTGTCTTTTCCATTTTCTTCAATAATTTAAGCTTTCGCCTCTTTAATGGAGTTGGGTTCATAAGTTATTTTGCAGCGAAACAAATATTGCATAAAGTTACTGATGTAGTGAACAGATACTGCATAAACTGGCTGATGTAGTGCATGAAACACTAATTTTAGCGCAACGAAATGTATAGTTAATTTTAGCATGAAACACTTTGCATAATAATATTTTATTTTGCATGGGTATTGCATAGTAGCACATACTGCATATTGTGACTATCTAATCCGATCGTCTTGTCCATTTTCTTCAACAACTTAAATTTCTTCTTCTTTAATGAGTCTGATCCATAAGTTATTTTGCAACGAAATAGATATTGCATAGAGTGTAGTGCAATGATACTGCATATAGTGTCTGATATAGTGCATGAAGCTCTAATGTTAGCGCAATTAAATGTAATCGGACGACTTCAAGTAAAAAGTGATCTTCCCGTGCAAAGTGCGAAATTAGCACTTTTGCATGTTTCGTTTTCACTTTTGCTTGTGTCCGTTGCACTTTTTCACCATTGCAAGTTTTGCCAAATTCGGCCAAAATGACGGTGGCAGTTTTGTAAATAACCCAATTTTTTTTCGCTAACACGAAAAGTGCAACGAAAACAAGAAAACGTGCAAGCGAAGCATGAGTAAGTGCAAATTTTGCACTTTGCACGGGAAGACCACTTTTTATTTGAATCATTCCCTATATATATAATGATATAATAGTCTCAATAGTACAAGGGTTCCTACTAAAGCTAGAATTATATGAAAGCAATAACTGTACATTATTATCAAGTTTCATAAAATTGTGAAGACAAAATTTACACTTTCAATGCTTACATATAAATGATCTATTTAAGTTTCACGTTTCTTTAATTTGTAACATCTTATTCTCACATGCTCAAATATATACACACGCTTTGGATGCTACGTTAGTATTATTGACTAGATAAACATGTTCTTATCAACCAAATAACTAGTACTTACATTAGGTACACAAAATTCACATCTAATTTTTCCAAAAACATTATATATTAATGCTCCTCATTGAATTGTTCACTCTATTTGGTCAACCAGGTTCAACCATTCAAATATTCATTCCCATTCACTTCATTTTTGGATACCTTCAATGAGGAGCATTAATATATAATTATCGGAATCCAGGGGTGTTCATTAGATATACCAAACCGAACCGAACCGAAATTTTGGTAAACCATAATTTCGGTTATGCATATTCACATACTTCTATCCAATGCCGAACCGAACTAAATCAGTTTGGTTCAGTAAAACCGGGAAAAAAATGATTCGGTAATCGGTAAAACAAAGGTCCAAATTTGGTTGGTAAAACAAAATTCGGTCTAAAGTTCAACCGTATGCTTGATTTACGCAAATTATATGTATGAGTCAGGTGGTGTGTAATGAACTTCTTTGGGCTAATGTATTACGTTTTTATTGTTTTTATTGTATTTTGAGCAAATACACAATAATTTTTAGCCTTCAGTACGCCCTCTCCTTCGAAAAGTATATGGCTCCGCCACTGACAGGAGAGAGTGTCAAGTGTGTACATCTTTTGTTCCATGTGATATTGATAAAGGTCTCACACAACAGAAGTTGTAAGTAAGAGATTCTTTTGTTCCATCCGATTTCCCTCCACTTTTTTAGAACCGCTCCACCTTTTTAAATAATTTTTTTTTATCTCAAATTAAATTATATCCAATCTTCTAGACTCCACAAACATTATTACAATTTAGTTGGTATCTCCCATTACTTAAACTCCACTAGTATAAGAGTGAGCAAAAAATATGGAGGCTCGTCTGATCATCTCAATAGTCTACACTCCCCGAATGAAAAAAGTTTTTGGATAAAAATAATTTGTGAAAAATAGTACTGAAGGGTAATCGTAAATACTACCAATTACTCTCTTAGGGGCTGTTTACTTTTTTTTTCATTAAGTCCTGTCTGGATTAAGATGTCTGTCTGTATTAAGACGTCTGTCTGGATTAAGTGATACTGTCATACCAAGTTGTTTACTATGTTTGCAGAATGTGTAGTCTGAATTATATCAAATTACCAATTTACCCTCTATCTGTAACAAGCACTGCACGTGTAAGATAGGTATCCACCATTCCATCTAAACAACATAGAAGATATAAGCAACTGGAACCTATGAACTTAACAAAGTTAGAATTTTAGCTCTCTGTTTGTAATTCCCATAGACAAAAATTACAATCTTTTAGCTCTCTGTTTGTAATTCATAGTTGCTCTCCATCTGTAAGATGCATCTGTAAATCTAATCCTTAAGCAAATCAATTTTTCCTTTGAGAGAATCTTAAGCGCCTTCATTTTAATTTCAAAATCAAAACACACGTGATAAGTAAGATAACATATGTATATATATTGATTTTACCAGAAATTTGAAAGTAGATTATTTAGGAAGAGAACAATCAGATCAAGAATAAAGAGAAGAGCTGCAATTTTAAATAAAAATAAAAATTTAAAACAGATACAAATTCATATGAAATACGGAGATGAAAAAGGTAGAGGATGAAATTCCTCTTCGCTGCTTTTGTGATGGCTCGATGGGTACACCGAATTCCGATGATGGAATTTCGCAGGGTTGTCAAGAGAGTGATGGGAGCGATGAAATAAACGAATGAAAAAGCAGGGTTAAAAAAGATAATCTGCCCACACCTACACGTCTGTATCGGAACGAGTGTTAAAACTGAACTGAGCGAATAAGTCGTGAAAGGTCTGCGTGAATAAGTCAACATTTTAAATAAGTCGTAAGTAATAAACAACATCATATAGCTGAATGATTAATTCACAATATCCATTAAGTTCATTAAGTCACAAGTAAACAGGCCCTTAGTCCCTCTATCTTGGTCTCATTTTACCTTTTCCGTATGTCCCACTAAGTTTGTCGTATACCTTATTTGTAATATTTGAGTGGATACAATTCATTGTTACTTTATTGACACTTTGTCAATTTAATACTAACCGCATAACTTCACTATTCTTAAAAACCAAGCGCATCACTCGCTCTTGTCCCGGTGTCAAGGGGACGGGGGTAGTCTATTTTATTATCAAAAGTCAAAATAGAAATTATCTTTAGTTATGGTAAAAAGAAAATAATATTTAAAATTTCTCCAATAATTAGTAATTTCTTTTATACGGCATAAATTAATCTTGGAGAAGAACTATTTAATAAGTATGTGAGATCATTGTGTGAAAGTAATTTTTGAAAATTGAAGTTTTTAAACCGTGGAAGTACATAGATGAAAGAAAGCTTAATTTAAATACTTGCACAAATACGAAAAAATGTCACCATATGGAACACTTTTTGCTCTTTTCAAGATATTATGAAGTGGCAAAGTATTTTCGGATGGAGGGTTATGTTAATGATGATATGATTTATAGTAATTGTCTCAAATAGGAGTAAAACACATGAGAAATTCTTATATAGGACCATGTAATTTTTTCCCCTAAATAGGATCATATTACTCCTATTTGAAAACATAGACAATTTTTCATCCCATTTATATCTCTGCCTTAATCCACTACTCCTCTCCTGCTTTAGACCACGTACAACACCTCTCCTCTACATCCTCACCGTCTCTTTCCCTTCTACCATATGAATCAGATCCAACGAGCTCTCCTCCTCTGCGCATCAACTCATCGACTTCACCGCATCGTCCACACGCCATCGTCAAATTCATCCCAAGCCATCGCCGTTGTTGGCTCCGCGACAGGGCCACCGCGTGTCAGGTTTCTTCTTCTTCATCTTCTTCTTTTTCTTCTTCCTCCTCCTCCTTCTTCCTCCTCCTCCTCCTCCGCCTGTTATTCAATTTTTCTGGGTTTTGATATTGATCTTTCTGATTTTACTTCTATTCCTATGTTGTTTTGAGTTTTGACATTCAGTTTGTTGATTTTTAGACTTCTAATTCATAATACTGTTTTCTGGATTCTTAATTTGCAAAAAATAAAACGATATTCTGTTTTTTATGGATGATGGCATCACATTTGGCCAACTTTATGGCAGAAATGTACATTAACAATCATATTGTGGCAAAGAGCTTTTGTGTAAACTCCGATCTTTCTAATTTTTATCATTAATTTCTTGTTTGTGATTGAGGTGTATTTGTTAAATTGATTGTTTAAAATTTAATTTTTTTTTGAACATTTAGTTGTTGATTTCATATTTTGCCAAGATTATGGCAGTTTCGTACAAATCTTCAAGATAAATCTGCCAAGTTTATGCAAGAAATGTACATTAACAATCATATTATGGCAAAGAGCTTTTGTGTAAACTCTGATCTTTCTAATTTTTATCATTAATTTCTTATTTGTGATTGAGGTGAATTTGTTATAGTGATTGTTCCATTAAAATTTGAGATTTTTTGAACATTTAGTTGTTGACTTCATGTTTTGCCAAGATTATGGCAGTTTTATATAAATCTGCAAGATAAATCTGCATACTTTATGGCAGTTTTGAAAATTCATTTTTAATGGATTGGCAGATTTGTAATTAAGCTAAATCTGTCAAGTTAATGACAGATATATGGCGTCGGAGTTGTGGCGGTAATGATGGTGTTGAAATTGACACTGGTAGCAATTTTGATAAGGCAGTGATGGTGACCAAAGTGGCAGCCGCGACTATGACGATGGGGTGGCGGCAAGTCGGCAACATCGGAGAATAGTGACGGTGGTGGCAGATGGCGATGCCGGTGGGCCCAGGCTGCGCATGCGAGGGGTGGTTTTCCATTTGCGAAATACCTCCTAAAGCATTAAATGAAATATTAGAACAGGGGTGTTTTTGTCCATTAAAGTTATTTTTAGTCCTATACTCTGATAGCATAAAAAAGAGCTAAAGTACATACAATCATGCTTGTTGTACCCACCACTTTGTACTCACCTGTGAAGCCAATTCACAGACAAAATATGTCTTTGAGTTATTATAATTTATGACATAAACTCCACCACTTGAATAAACCTTAGGATGACGCCCTTCCAAGGTGCAATGAAAGTCATCAACCATGTTGATCGCCCATCGACCTTGTCTAGGTGAGTATGTAAAACAGGTTGCCCAGGCCCATCTTTATAGCATCTCCCTCCGCTCCTGCTCTTCTCCCTCTCCGGTGTGGGACTAATTACAATCCCATCTCACGCTGCTGCTTTCCTTCAACCTTCGCCGTTCTTTTGCGATGAATGAATACAAAGCCTTAGCCATTTCCTTCTTTTGCAAATCAAAACCGCAGCAACATATTGAGCTACGTATTATCATCATTTCTAGCTCCACCTCCAACATAAAATCCCATCCATTTTCACTTTACAAAATTCATTTTCAGTACTACTTTTGCCATCCAAATCCTTCTCATTTTTGCATCTTTATCCACTTTGCACTTCCAACCCAAATTAGCAATATAATAAATACTTCTTCCAAGCATAAACTACTAAATTTATCTATTCAAACACCACTCAATCTCAATCAAAATCTTCAAATCTAGCTAGAAACGTTTGCTCTATTTTGGTCAATGAACCTCATGCTCTCTATTTTAAATCAAAGTCAAACGAGTTCAATCATTCACCTATTCATCCCCCGTTCACTCCATTTTTGTTGCCTCCGTAATTATTACTACTCCGGTCAAATTAAAGGCGATGCCCAAATTAAATCCTTTGTATTCACTTTAACCGACTTTAATAAGTTTTTCATCATATAAGTAGAGTTGATATTGGTCAAAACGACATTCTTTACATATTCATTCACGTTCTTCCACTTTTTCTCTTTATCAACGTAAGTTTTTCATCTAAGTAGCTCACTTTTTTACCTTTAAAAAGATTTACTTATAAGTTAAGCCATTTTATAACTGGCAAACTATATGTTTTTTTTTTCAAAAAGAAAAAATTGTGGCTTTTTGTAGCAATGAATAATAAATCGGCGACTTCCACCCTTAAAATCTTAACCATTTCACCGCGCACCATTATCCATGTTTTTAACGTTCAACAGATCCATCATAATTATATTTAGTCTTATAATTCCATTTGGAGTCCACAATAACTTTAGAAGAGTCAAATGGAACCAAATCTCAAATGCATTTATCTTTTGAAAAAAAACATGTAGTTTAGGTTGCATCAAGTGACTTAACTTGTTGAGATTCATGGAAGCTTGAAATAACTCCACCAGATGTTTAGATGTATGACATTTATTTGCCCACTGCCCGGTCATGCCACTTGTAACAAGTTGTTTTCACCGAGGGTTTTGTAGGGCGGTTTACTTGATGGGCGTTTTGTTTTCCCTTGCCCTTATAATTTGGTCTCTCAACTCATTTACATCCCCCGGTTAGACTTGTTACCCCGACCATTGAAATGTCCTCGTTTGAAATGTCTTCGAATGTCACTGTGTGTTTTATTTGATTCAGTGACTAAATTATGGCTAGCTAGATGAATCATAAACCGAAGGGCTAGAACTGGTAGGTCTCGAATTGTGATTCTTCACTAAAAAAGGTCATTATTTTGCTCTGCAACAAGAAAAACTGATGTAAGGTCATAATATTTTTTAAAACCTTTTTCTCTATATAGCTGTTGGAGCAGCATATTAGAGATCTACATAGTATAAAAGGTTATTTCAAACATATCAGCATCAGTGACCTTTTGTCCACATAACTTTAATTTAGATGTTATTTGGAACATTGCAGAATTATAATCAACGATAGATTTGAAATAATGAAACCTTAAATTAATCTAATTAAGGTGGCCTTACCTCCCTATAGATGGTCCCATAATCTATAGGAATAAGTCCTTTTGTTGGTGGCCTTACCTTTCCTATAGATCATCCCATTATTCTTTTGGATCATCACCCAAAAGATATTCAGATTTTAGGCTTTCATCAAAATTGTGGGGGGGGGGGGGGGGGGGGGGATTACAGTTTTTGCTTTGTCTTGGAAAGATGATTGATTATTGGCTTTTATAGTATCTTCTAGACCATTATCCTTTATATGACCATTGCAGAAGATGGTGATTACTTAAAGAGTTTTGAGCAGATTCGTGCTCATAACGTGTTATGAAATAATGAAGATGAAAGCTAGATTTTTAAGATAGATATATTGGTAATAAGCTCTGAATCTCTTCTTAATATGAAAATTTCTGAGTTAATTTACAAGATAACATGAAGCCCCTATTTATAGTGATTTGGGCTTGATAATGAATCATCCCCAACTATTCTACATTGGTGGAATCAAACAATAATTTGAGCGGGTGCTCTTATGTTTTTTTACAAAACAATTTTTTTATTAGGATACAAGAAAAAACGAGTGAAAAATTATTGTTTGATATATATAGAGTGAGGTTCTAATAAAAAGAGTTATTCACGTGAAAAATGCGAACGGGTGCACTTTTTACTCATTTTGGTGCATTAGTAGATATTTGGTTTACACTTTTTCACAATAAGAGAAAATTTTGATTTATTTATCTAATTGTCACCACGTTTTTGATAAAATATAGTGCATTGTCGACTCATTTAGAGTCATCGAATCTCAGATTTAATGCACAAGATATATTATCAATTTTCATGATAATAACTCTTTTTATTTGATCCAAAACTTATATATGTGTATGTGGGGTGTGTTTCAAATAAAAATGTTGTTATACGTACTAAAGAAAATGTATATAGTTATGTTAACTTAAAGCATATAAAATGACAATGTCCATGTATGTCATTAGCTGGTCATATTACGGGAAATGCTGCATCTTTTAGTTAATACTCCGTATATTCTCTTAATTTTCCCATAAGAGTAGATTATGCGTGTAATCACTCTACATAATTGCAATACTTTGGGGAACCTCATTTTCCCGCTCAACGCCTAAACTTTTCGCCATCACAATTCCTCCTAATTCATTTAGGCCTATTTAGGTCTTTTCAATTTCCGTGTATTTCCGTCTAATTCAGTCCAGCCTTATCCGCTCTTCAGTTTATCTCTCAATTCCATTGAACAAATCGATTGCTGAAGTAGGCGATGCCCCTGCATTCAGAAATAGCAGAGGAGGATGAACCCATACCATGGTGTGGTTGTAGAAGAAGAGTAGACACCCCTGAATTCAGCCGTAGCCTGATCGCCTACTCAGTCGGTACGGGTAGCCTCACCCGGTTGATGAAGGGCTTCATCGCCGACTTCAGTATCTCATCGCGACTTCATTGTCGAAGGCCTTCAATATCTCGGTACGGATAGCCTCACTCGATTGTCGAAGGCCTCCATCTCTCTGCCCAAACCCATCAGTTGTGGTCTCATAGCCGACTTCAATCTGACTCTGTTCCCCCCCCCCCCCCCCCCCCCCCCCCCCCCCTCCTCTAATCTCACATGAAGAGGCAGCAATTGACCAAAATATTAGAGCAATTGGGAGCAATAGCAAGAAGATGACGCCATGGTACTGTTCATATTTTTACATAATTTTTATTGATTTATTTTATGAATTCTATATTCCCAATTGCCCAATTTCATTATTCTATTTTGTTTATTCATAATCATAGTTCTAAGCCTGATTCTTTCACTTTTTATTTTAAAAAATGAAAACAATTTGAAAAGTGAGTCTGATTCATATTCAGTATGCCCAAGTATTAAATATACTACGTATTTCATTGCTAAACCTAGATATTTGATGATCATGATAAGAGAATAGATGAAAAGAGCATGATTATGAATACTTTTAAAAAAATTATGCTTATAAATAGATATCAAAGTATTAGTCAGAAGTCAGAACATAACAGAATACTCTTATAACTTTAATTATCATGCTTTCCCTTGATTTTTTTAATAAGAATATATATGAACCTTTTGTCGACTGATCCATTATTGAAGGTTTGGTTTTCCAAATTTAACATGTAAACTAAATAGCTTTAAGTATTAGTTTTAAGATCCAAATTTTAGCTTACTGCAGTATGAAACCTAAAATAATGCTTACTTCTAATGAGAATTAAACATATAAAACAGTACATGAACTACTAAGGATTTAGAATTTGTTTTATTCCGGCTTTATTCCTTTACCGTCATCATGTTTGGTAAAATATAAGGCAAGTTCTTGGTACATCTTTCACACGCAGGTCTAAACAGGTTATACTGCCATACCGGAATTGTATTTCAGACCATCAACTTCATTTTAGATTTGCTAATTTTGAAAATATGATATATATTCAAGTCATTATTTTCTTTGGGTTTTATCTGCCACCTATTTTTTTTGTATTCTTCTCTCAATTTAGAGTTTTCCACATTAATCGGTTTCAAATCTGCAAACTTTTACTTTGCAAATTGTATTCATCTTAATTTCTGTTTGTTCATTCAGATCAGATGCTCACTGAGATACATGTTTTCCAGTATGCAGGTCTATTTTTTTGGTTGAATTGCTTTACACTGACTTGGGATTTTCCTAATATTTGTTCTAGAATACATTTTGCTACAGGTGTTTCCTTTGAATTTAGAGTTTTGCAGTATCTGTTATTCAACACAATAAATATTGTTAAGTACCACTCCTATTTGAGTTTACTAATCTTAAATTTGTTTATTGTAGTTGTATTTTTGTAGGTTTTGTTCATCTTTGCTTCTTGTGCATTCTTTCATTGATTTTGTGCATATCTTTTTGCAGGTTAATTCTCTTTTAACAACTCTTTTTTTTCTTCAAAATTGCTTCCTTTTGTTAAATTGAGTTGTGTCTTTTCTAATCTCACTGATTTTTCAAATATTGTGAAATTTGATTGGTTTGTTTGTTGCGGGTTCTGCTAATTTTTTTGTCCATTGGTTGTTGAATATGTACTCTGTAGTAGACTACAAATGAAATAATATAGTTTTAGATCACTTATATGAATAAAAGTGATGCTATTGAAATTGCTTCACTCTAACAAGTACAGAGCGAGTGTATATATATTCCATCCAAAATTTATATTAGTGAACATTGTCTTTAGTCAAGAGCTTGATTTGCTTTTGTTTTCAAAGAATTGTTGCTACTGCTTAAAAGTAC